ATGCTGGCTGGGGAATTCTGGGAGTTGAAGTCCACTCATCTTAAAGTGGCCAAGTTTGGACAACACTGCTTTATCTAATCCGGCACCCCATTCTGCGTTAGCAAATTCTGTTGTTTAGCTTCTCCAGCAGGGCAGATAAGATGCCCGGCAGGATCTAAGTAAGCCAAAATCAAGGCTAATTCGTAGCAAATGCATCGCCCGATGACCCAGCCCCACAAGGCTGCTTCTCCATGCACAGCCCCAGAGTATTCAGGCTCGTCGCAGTATTTTTCTTTTAGGGTGTCGCCCGTTCTCAGCTGTCTGCAGGAAGAGCTGGGGAAAGTTTTCGACCATCAACTTCTCACAGCAAAACAAAGACTAATTCATCTTTGGAATTAGTGGTGGTGCTTTGAGGTGCCGTGCCCAAAATTTAGGCTGCATCCCCATTTGCAACTGAACACATTGCATACAATGTCCTGGGAAGGACGTTGTTCTGCTCGGCCCTAAGGCATGGCCTTCATCTCGTCCCAGCCCAGGAGTGAGGCAGCTAGAAAGTCATCCTTACCTGTCCCCTTCTTAAAGCAGGATGTTCTCCCTTATTTTGAACAGCCCCAAGAGGTGTACATTTGGTCACTCATAACTAGGAGGAAGGCAGGAATCTCAACATGACTAGGAACTGTCAGCTCTTCGAGGTAGACCAGATTAGGAAACCAATGTTATGAATGCTGATACAGGTAGTCCTCGCTTCCCAACCACAACTGGGGCCAGCAACTCTGTCGCTAAGCGCCACAGGTGCTAAGCGAAAAATCACATGACTGCATTGGACTTACGTCATTTCCACTTCCGTCATTAAGCGAGTCACCGCGGTCATTAAGCAAGTCATCACGTGACTGCAACTTGCAATTTCACTTCCAAATTCTCCTTTAATTCTGCTTGTTGGAAGCTGGTTGTGAAGCTTGCAAATGGCAATCATGTGACCGCAGGATACTGCAACAGTCGTAAATGTCTGCCAGTTGCAAAGCACCAAATGGTGATCACATGACTGTGGGACACTGTGACAGCTGTAAATTGGTTGCAAAGCTGTTTTTTTTTTTTCAACCATCGTAACTTCAAATGGTCACTGAACAAGGCAGTTGGTAAGTGAGGACTACTTGTACTACTTTTATTATTAGGTTACAGTAACAGAATCTTCAAGTCTGAATACACTCCCCCTTCCCTCCCTTTATCTTTGTGAGAATGAGGGAGGGTCTTGCCTGAGACGCTTTCTCAAGTTACATTCTTGCCCTGGACTCAAATTTCTTTTATCTAACTGCTGTCTTGATTGAGGCTCTTCCTCCTGTTCCTCAAGGTTATTCCTACCGTCCATTACAGAAACAAAGAGGAGAGACAGGAAAGAGATTGACAATGGGAGTAGCTCATTCCAGGAATGTCCAAAAGGAAGTCAAAAAAGTCAAGATGGCAGCCAGAAGGGTGCCATCAATGCTCTGCCTGATCATTATGTGCACTGATTACTCCAAACAGAATTGGAGCGAGGGCTTGCTGTGAGTCCCACCCCTCATGAGGAGTGACCCTTCTCTGAAGGAACTCGTTCCCACCAGATGTAAGAACTGTTCCCTCCCTTTGAATATCCAAGAGGGTTTTAGAAATGCACCTTTTTCAAGCTGCATTGGGGTCGGGAGGCGATAGTGGGTTGAAGCATCAGAGGACAGGGTGAATCATGGTTGGAGTGACAAGCAGAGGAAGTGTTTTATCCGAGTTGAGAAAGTCTTGATCGAGTGAGTTGGATAATACCCGGGATCAGCCAGCCAGGGAAGCAAGGGGCTGTACAGTCAGAGATCGCTGGATTTTGACATAGCATCTCTCCTTCTGCAAATATTTTTAGAAACATGTGCAACCCGTCCAGTTAAAAATTATTCATGCGTCACAGTCTCCCACGTGTTTGCTTCGAAAGATAAGTCACCCCGGGGGTCATGCAGGGCAAAGGTGCAATCGACTAAATGTTTTCTCAGAGGAACGAGGGTGCACTCTGTTTCCACCCTGTCACACATACTATTCTGTGTATTTACAGGTTGCAAGCGTAGCTGGGTTCCACATCCTCTGGAGCAGAATTGGGAGTGGGCTGATTTTCCCTTTTTTCCATCCCCTGGAGAGGAGCAGAAGTCTTTGAGCAACACATGCCCAAATAGAAAAAGAAAAACTTGTATAAATTATGGATGTGAAACCCCACCATGGAAAAGAAGGGGTTAAGAACGCCTGGTTTAAGGAGGACCCACAGTTAAGAACAGAGCCCATTGCAGCAAAATTTGAGTTAAATACACAATGATTCGAGTTAAACACACAATGGTTCATTACACAATACTACTTATACAGTATTATACAATAACACTGTTCCGGCTTACGTACAAATTTGACTTACGGACAGACCTTGGGAATGGAACTCGTTCTAAAACTGGGGACTACTTGTAATCAGATTTGCCCTAGCAATCCAGCCACATTCTGGAACAAAAAACATGGAAAACCAGCTAAACAGCTTCCCAGAACAAGATTGTTTTAATGATGATTATAGTCATGCTGTCATTCTTGAATAATAATAATAATAACAGCCACAACTACCACCAGTTGGAACTCTGGTCTAGCATTTGGGAAGAGGGTTTAATGAAAGTCCTTCTCCTTTATTGGGTTCACGAATGGAAGAGGAGGTGGGGCATGCATGGGAGAAGGTCAAAATCTGCAAGATGGCAGGTGAGGCGTCGTGATGGAGGCCCCGCCCCTTTTGTACATGCACATACAAAAGGGGCGGGGCCTC